GGAGACAGTAGGATGTCACATTCAAAGTGCTCAAGGACGTAAACTGTAAGCCCAACATCCTGTATCCAGAAAAGCTCACTTAAAAAAAATGAAATGAAATATACTCCTAGATAAGCAAAACCTATGAAAATTTGTTGCTGTAGGGTTTTGCCTTGTAAGAAAAACTAAAGTGAGACCAACACTTTCAGGTTTCATATGGAAATAAAATACGCATGAAGAGCGTTGGCAAAAGTAATTATAAATGGCACTATAAATGTACATTTCTCCTTACTAATTTAAAAAGCAACTTGCTAATATTTACATGTAAGCAATTTGTATATATGTGTATGCATTATGTTTATACATAATTTGTGCATGCACGTGTGTGTATTTGTGCCCATAAGCTTAGAGAAATGTAATGCATTTGCCAATAACAGTACAAAGGAAGTCTTAAGAAATTACTCCAAATGGTAAATCGGATTGAGAAGATGAAGTAGAGATCACGAAATGATAATTTTGTTATAACAAAAGTTATAAATACAAATAGTCTTTGTTCTCTCAGCTTTTTTAGAATACATGAAATTATATAAAGTTATAATCATGATCTTACGAAGTTTGTGTTCTTAACGTTATAGGTGTAATATGTACAACAATAATATAACAAAAAGGGGTGCCAGAATAGAGCTATAGAGGGGTGACATTGTATGTTCACTGGTGCTTACCACGTAGAGGTCTGAAACTGATTATGATCATTCAAAATTCATATGGCAAGAGAGACATTTTATAAAACAAAGGCATCAATCAATCAGGAAGATACAACAATTATAAACTTATTTGCACCTAATGAAAGACATCCAAATACACAAAGCACAAGCTCACAGAAATAGAGAAACAGACAATTCAACAATAATAGTTGGAGAGGGCAATTCCCCACTTTTAATAATTGATAGAAGTCAGAAGATCACCAAGGAAACGGGATTTGAACATGACAAGTGTATCAGACCGAGCAGATCTGTCAGACACTTGACCCCTCCACAACAGAATGAATGCTCTTCTCAAGTGCACTCAGGGCATTCTCCAGGGTAGAACATATGTAGGTTAGTGAAAAAAAAAAAACCCAGAATAGAAGGATAGAAGTAATACATTTTATATACTCTGACTTCAATAGAATGAAATTAGAAATGAATAACAGAAAAGAATTTGGAAAACACATAAAATAACACACTTCTAAATAACCGATGAGTTAAAGAAGAATTCAAAAGGGAAATCTGAGATACTTTGATATGAGTTAATAGTGAGACACAATTTACCAAAACTTCTGGGGTGTGGCTACCGCAGTGCTTACAGGGAAATTTATAGCTGTGAATGCCCACGTCAGAAAGAAGGGTTACCTCAGTAACCCAAATTTCTACCTTAAAGCCCTGGGAAGAGTAAACTAAACCCAAAGAAGTTGAACTCCTTAAGGTTAGAGCAAACATTGGTGAAAGAGAGAATAATAGAGAATAGAAAAACAACAGAGAAAAGTCAGTGAAATCAAGAGCCAGTTCACTGAAAAAAGTCCATACAACTTATAGACCTTTGGCTAGACTGACCAAGAAAAAGTGAAGACACAAATTTCTAACGTCAGAAGTGAGAGGACATTAGTACTGACCTTACAGAAATAAAAAGGATTATGAGAGAATGCTGTGAACAATTGTATGGCAGCAAATGGATCACCTCAGTGAGACGAAAACTGCTGAAGAGGAAGCTGATGATGTGAACCCATCTGTACCAAGGCTGAATGGGCAGGGAAAGACCTCCCGGCAAGCTCGGGCCCAGGCGGCTCCATTGGGAAATTCTACCAAAAATTTAAAGAAAAACTAACACCATTCTTCT